TCCGCGCTATACTTTTTGGGTTAATCCGTTGTCGAATTTATTTGTATGGAAAAAATTTGTAATGCAGTCAGAAAAAAAATTATTAAAACTCAACGCGATTTTTTAGCAACTTAAGACTTGCACATTATTGCCCTAGAATTTAATGGGCTATTATACTGCATACTCAATTCTAAAAAATCTGAATAAAAAGTTGGAAATTTAGCTGACACTTTGCAGATTAACCATTAAAATTAAATAAACGAAAGCAAAATAGCCAAAATTGATCAAAATGTTGCTGGCTTAATTAGCTGCAATAAAAGTTTGATAAGAACAATTCTGTGTGCATACATTTAGAAAGGACGTTTTTGGGTAGGAAATGACGTTTTTCAGACCAAGAGGGACGTTTTCTCATGCTGAAGACCTGGCAACACTGCTCCCAAGACACAAATCATTTCTTTGAATAAAAAGAGTATCAAAATTCGAAACACTTACTCATGGCATTTGTTTTAAAGTAGTCTTTCAATTAGTTGATTTAAAAAAAAATCACTTGCTTCTGTCAGGGTAAAGACAAACCCTACATATGACAATTCATAGTGAGCTAATTGAAAGCAATACACTAGGGGTATTTTCGAAGTGTTGCATATCCCTTGCGCGGTGCACGAATTGCACAGCTTTGCAAACTATCCAATCCGGGCACCGTGCAAGGTTAGTAGCCATTTCTAGATTTTGGGTAACTGAATTTTTAAAAATGGAAACTTATATTTGAATTTAAAAAAAATAAGGTAAATAGCAAAATCGGCTAAAAATGTAATTTTTTTGTAAAACGGCTGGCGGCTAAGCGGAATTTTCTCCGGATGTTTACTATTGCAACCGGCTAAATTTCTGCACCGTTCGTTCGTTTTTCGAAAATGAGATGTCAAATGAAAGAGCTTGGGCTGTAGATGCTAGGACTAAGCGTTTATTTTTGGCAATTTATGTCTGAAAATTTTTTTATATGAAAAAAATGCGGAGCACCGTCAGCAAAAAAAATCTAAAAATCTTGACATTTTGGTCAAACTTTTCAGACTTTTCATTATCTTTGCACAAAGTCTGAAATTTGCATTTATATCGTGTTTGTTAAGTTATCAACAGGGCCGAAAAGTTTAAGCTTTTGCTTGGAATTGCTTATTTTGCTTATTCAGGGTTTTCAAGCCTAATTTTAATGATACAGCTTAGTTTGCATATTTCAATGTAGAGGGCTAAGTACGGACCTTTTATGAAATAAATTGCTCTTATTTCGTGCGTGTGAATAGTAGTGTCCAAGGAGTTTTTACATCTGATATTTTATCATGATTCAAAAATACAAGGTTCGATAAACTGACAGTTGTCTCTCTCGCACCGCTCCCTTAGCAGTGGCACCGTGTTGCTTCTTTGCAAATTTACATGGAAACAGTGTAGCTTTGGTGTGAAATAAAAGTATAAGCTTTTGTGCAATATGTTTATTTGTATATGCATATGAAGCATATTTAACTGATGAAAACATAAGCATTGGATGTTTACATCAATCTCATAGTAGTCTTATTTTAATTTTGAGTCATTTTGCAGTTTTTATACAGCTAAATAGCACATAAATTACGTAATTCACGTAGATATATCAATATTACGTTCAACATTTGGTTTAAAATGCCAGATTTCCTGCAAATACATTAGAATTTACAAAAGGAATTTGACTACTAATTGCCTACTTTGCGTACTTTTCTACTACCATTTTCGCATCAAGAAAGCTTGATTCTTACCCTTTCTCCGTCCTTCGTAAATGCAACCTTTTGTAAGGGAGTGTCAAACCGCAGCTGTCAATAATTATCTAACCTTGTATTATTGAATCATGATATTTTATATCGTGGTGTCTCACTTTTTCATTACGAAATAATGAACGGGCAAACAAGGGTGCCTTGTACTCTTCACAAACAAACTTTAAAAAACCGTTAAGAAAAAAATTAAAACGATCAGCGCAGATCTCTATTATTTGAGAATATTAAGCAACACTTTTATGTTTGTTGCAATTTTTCAATCCTTGAAATAAAGTAAATAAAAAACCAAAACATTAAACTCTACTTAATTTTTGTTGTTTTGCGAGCATATTTACCAATGTTTTAGTGCATATCTAAGCGCTTAAAATGCATTTTTTTGCTTATTTTCTTCGGCCCTGGTAATCAACTATACTTTCATAAAAATTACAATTATTTTGTGTGCTTCCAAAATCTTCGCTCTAGTAACTATTCTAAATGTGGATTTTTTACTATTCATGGACTATTAGAATATACATACATTCTATTAATATAATCCAAAAGGTTATTCACTAATAAATTGCTACTTTATTAGTAGAAACCTTTGGTACCAAAAGACCTTCTACAATATGATATTAATTGATACAATATTGACATTCTAAAACCATTTGGAAATTTGGACAGATTTTAAATAGCAATTTCCAAAATTGTTTCACATAGCTTATCAACATAGTGAAATAATAATGCCAGCTTATTTCAATGCAAAATTTGAGTCTCGTCATTTTCGCTTTTTNGGAAATTTGGACAGATTTTAAATAGCAATTTCCAAAATTGTTTCACATAGCTTAGCAACATAGTGAAATAATATAAAATATGCCAGCTTATTTCAATGCAAAATTTGAGTCTCGTCATTTTCGCTTTTTTCAATACTGGCATTAACCCTTGGTTTTGTTGCATACCTCTGCCCGATTTCGGCTTATCGTAATATCCGTTCACGGATGTAAAACCATAAGAAAGAAAATTACGTGATACGTCAGTCGAATAAGCTGAATGGGATAAGAGTACATTTACGTACATATGTCATAATCCGAAAAATTTGTTTTTACTTGACGAGTAATACGATATCGTATGTGTCGATTCTAGCCCAGTATTGCAACGTTATGCGTGCTTTAGCACAAGCGGCAAGAATTTATTGACATGTTTATTTATTTAATTTTTTACTCAAATCAAATAACTTCATAATTTTTCACACAAAAGGGTTAACATGAAAGTCATATGAAGGAAAAAAGTATAATTACAAATTGCCAAATACATAAAACATTTCACTGTGAGTTATTACTTAAACACTTATTAAAGTTGCGATTCTTTCATTTTCTTGTTGTTTATTTTTAATTGAAAGAAACTGTTGATATTTTCATTCGATGCATCGAAAATATCGATATTTTTATAAGATACATAGATATGCATCGATGTTATATTTCGTTGCATCAAATCGAAAAAAACATCGATGTATTTTTTTACTTGCATCCCTAGGAACGTATACTTAATATTTTTGACATGTGCTCACGATTTAATAAAAAAAAAATTCTCACAAAAAAATCGAAGTTTGTGAGAATAGCCCATATACTATGCTTTGAACGAGAGAAAAAATAGTTTGGAAAAAAGTATAAGTATTTTATTAAAAATTCGGCTGCTAATTCGTCCCTCGCTTTACAATGGCCATGGAATCACCCATAAATTGTTTTAGGTCAATAAGTTCGTAGTTCATTATAGATAATATAAATACANTTCAATACTGGCATTAACCCTTGGTTTTGTTGCATACCTCTGCCCGATTTCGGCTTATCGTAATATCCGTTCACGGATGTAAAACCATAAGAAAGAAAATTACGTGATACGTCAGTCGAATAAGCTGAATGGGATAAGAGTACATTTACGTACATATGTCATAATCCGAAAAATTTGTTTTTACTTGGCGAGTAATACGATATCGTATGTGTCGTTTCGAGCCCAGTATTGCAACGTTATGCGTGCTTTAGCACAAGCGGCAAGAATTTATTGACATGTTTATTTATTTAATTTTTTACTCAAATCAAAAAACTTCATAATTTTTCACACAAAAGGGTTAACATGAAAGTCATATGAAGGAAAAAAGTATAATTACAAATTGCCAAATACATAAAACATTTCACTGTGAGTTATTACTTAAACACTTATTAAAGTTGCGATTCTTTCATTTTCTTGTTGTTTATTTTTAATTGAAAGAAACTGTTGATANGCAACATAGTGAAATAATATAAAATATGCCAGCTTATTTCAATGCAAAATTTGAGTCTCGTCATTTTCGCTTTTTTCAATACTGGCATTAACCCTTGGTTTTGTTGCATACCTCTGCCCGATTTCGGCTTATCGTAATATCCGTTCACGGATGTAAAACCATAAGAAAGAAAATTACGTGATACGTCAGTCGAATAAGCTGAATGGGATAAGAGTACATTTACGTACATATGTCATAATCCGAAAAATTTGTTTTTACTTGGCGAGTAATACGATATCGTATGTGTCGTTTCGAGCCCAGTATTGCAACGTTATGCGTGCTTTAGCACAAGCGGCAAGAATTTATTGACATGTTTATTTATTTAATTTTTTACTCAAATCAAAAAACTTCATAATTTTTCACACAAAAGGGTTAACATGAAAGTCATATGAAGGAAAAAAGTATAATTACAAATTGCCAAATACATAAAACATTTCACTGTGAGTTATTACTTAAACACTTATTAAAGTTGCGATTCTTTCATTTTCTTGTTGTTTATTTTTAATTGAAAGAAACTGTTGATATTTTCATTCGATGCATCGAAAATATCGATATTTTTATAAGATACATAGATATGCATCGATGTTATATTTCGTTGCATCAAATCGAAAAAAAACATCGATGTAGTTTTTGACTTGCATCCCTAGGAACGTATACTTAATATATTTGACATGTGCTCACGATTTAATAAAAAAAAAATTCTCACAAAAAAATCGAATTTTGTGAGAATAGCCCATATACTATGCTTTGAACGGGAGAAAAAATAGTTTGGAAAAAAATATAAGTATTTTATTAAAAATTCGGCTGCTAATTCGTCCCTCGCTTTACAATGGCCATGGAATCACCCATAAATTGTTTTAGGTCAATAAGTTCGTAGTTCATTATAGATAATATAAATACACATACAGATATGCGCACCTATTTTTTATTTTTCTTACCTTGACATTATAAAATCACAAATGCCACTTAGTGTTAGCTTTTTATGCGGCGATTGTAGGATGGCCATTGTGATGAGGGCAATGTAGGAGTACGGCGGTTTCACAAGCGGTGTGCTGTTGTCGTTGGTACTACTGTTGCTGCCGCCACTGTTGGAGCCAGATTTCTCTTCTGTCAAATTAGCTACAGAGGCTATAGCTAACGGAGGCGAAATTGAGTGCGTATTGAGGGCGGGTCTTAACTTCTGACGGGGCGGAGACAATTGCAATGGAGTGTGATGGGCGTTGCTGCAAGCAATTGTAGAATCCGCTGAGGTATGCATGCCCGCTGCCGCGTTTGTACAGCGGAGAAGTGGAAGGAGGCGAATCAAATGAAGTTGATTTTTTTCGTTATTAACCTCTAATTTAGGTAAAGCAATATCCGCTGTTTGCTTTACTTAAATACAAAAAAAAAATTTGTTTTATTTTTCTTATTTAAAATTAAAGCTCTTTTTAGTATTGAAGCGTGGTGGCATTTTTTCATATTTTTGAATTTAATATTCTTGATTTCACTTACATCACTTTCATCTTTGTATTACATCACAATTCCTGCTATACTAAGGTCTGCAGTACAGAATTAGATTAAGTCGGACTACTTGTGAATGTTTTGTATTTATTGTTTTTGTAGGAACTAGTTTCTTCAGAAATTAAAACGCTTTCCATCACTTAAGTTGATTCTCGTTTATAAATCTCATTATATTTTAATTGAGTTATATATTTTTTTAAATGTTACTCAACGAAGGACGAATTAGTTTAATTTCCGTTTCAGTATTGCGAAAGCTTTCGATTTGTGTCTAGTACATATATGTATGTATATGTATACATGTACATATATCCTTTTATCTGTTTTTGAGTTCGGCACAAACTGCTTGTGTAACCGTCGCAAAATTGTATTTGAACGCGCAAGCTCTAAAAATTAAATGTGTCCGCTTCTTGTCTGATTTAACGCGAATCCTTTTAGCAAATGTTAGCTGATCTGCAATGAAAACGAAATTTTCTCGCTAGAAACTTTTTTCCTGGCCTCTTCTGCTGTTTTTGCTTCTCGCTTTACATAACCAAACATTTATTTATCACAAAACCACTGCTGTATCTATCAGCTTTTGTCAACGTTCCGATGTTTATGTAGCTCGAATAATTCTGATTCCGTTTGGCCACCCGGCTTTGCCAGTGCCTCCTCCTCATTCTCATCTATCCATATCCTTCCCCTTAACCAGCTGCTATGCCGTTGCCATTGTTACCACAGAGGAAGAGTACCTATCGTCCTTCGTACGGGAGTGAAAGAGCAAGAGCTTTGCAGGATGTATGCGTGAGCATGTCGGGAAACTTGCAAGCGACAGCGGCTTGACAGCAGGAGTGGTGAGGTGAACAAAGAATTTCACCCGAATAGGATGTGGCATACACAATCATTTACACGAAATTATTCACACACACACACACAGGCTCACAGGAGACCGAGTGGCAGAAGGGATGAAGGNCATTTACACGAAATTATTCACACACACACACAGGCTCACAGGAGACCGAGTGGCAGAAGGGATGAAGGCTGAGATTGGGATGTAAACAAATATTTTGAAGATGTGCTCGGTATGGACTCAGCAAAGTAGATATAATCTCCACAAAAAAGGGAAAGGGCAACAGCGTACTGCGCCGAGTCAGACACAAAACATATCTGGCTATGCATTCACATACCTTTATACATGCATATGTAGTTGGATGTGGTTGGGTGTAAAAACAGTCGAATATTAGAAAATGGTGGCACGCCAAAAAGTAGATGTCCGCTTTGGTATTTGTTCGTTTATGAGAACGAGAAATTTGTTATGTTTCCCTATTGTATGTTGTTTCAATAATGGGGTGATCTGATGAGATTCGCCAAATGGGAGAGATATTAGTTTCGTCGTTTGGTTCGTTGGTGTGATGATGTTGTACAATGTAAATATGTACATACATATATACTTACATATGTAAGTACGCGCGTACGTAAGCGCACAGCAAACAAAATTGGTATACAGTATGCGAAATACCTTTGAAGTTTGACGTGTTTTTCACTTAATCATTTTTCATTATGTCGAACATTTCAAATACCAGTCTATGCACATGTTGCGAGTTTATATATGTGTACGTTCATACACCCTGTAGGGAAACCCCGAACTGGTGAACCAAATGTGTAGTTCCGTACTAGATCTTTATCGCCAAAAACGAACCAGTCCGATAGTAACTGGATCGCCACCAGTTAAAAAGCAGCGATATGTGGTACTTTTAAAAAACAATTTTAGAAATCTATATCTAAAATGACGAATTTAGAACTGGTTCAAAACTATAGAAAAAGGGATGCAGAACGAACTAGATCTCATCTGGCAAATTTTGAACTGGTTCGAAACTACTGAAAAAGGGATGCAGCGGGGGGCTTGTTTACTTTAAATAGATTTTTGCTTGGCGGGTTTTTCGTTCAAATACGTTTTCAGTCTGCACGTCGCAGATGCTTTTTCATAGTTTGGTAATACAAAACTAATATTTTTGTAAACATCTTAACATTTTGTGACCTTCTGGAATATAACCAATACAGTCAGCACCTCTGCAAATTCAGCTACAGCCAAAGGTATGTAAACGTGTTTTCAAATGCACAATTTAATTTACATTCATTCAATTTGATTTCAGATTGAAAATACATTTCTCTGCAAATAATTAAAAATTACTACCATGGTAACCCAAAAAGAAAACATCTTGTTACTTTTTTCGTTTACAACTGGTTCGAAACTATAAAAAATGGGGTGCAAAGCGAACTAGATCCCATATGTCGAATTTAGGACTGGTTCTGAACTATAGAAAAGGTAATACAGCGGGGGACAATTTCCAATTCCTATGACATCGCCGTGTTAAATTCGCCAGTTGTTTGCATGCAAAAGAGATTTATCGCGAACTAGTAGTGGTTCTAAATGTACTAGAAGCGCACCAGTTCAAAACTAGAGATTTTCCCCTCAGGGCATGCATTAATATGTACATATATGTACATATGTACCCAGTGCGAAAATGTACCCTTCAAGACATTGCTGAGCACTTTAGACAAAAATTCTAACACATTTACACTTTTGTTTTTGTAGTATGGCATAAATGAGTAGTTTGACTATTAGTATTGAGGACTTTCTGATGAAAACAGTGAGGGGAAAGTACTAAATTTTTTTCCATGGCCTGAACGAAAATGAGGACTTTGATAAGCAATTTTGTAATTAGCGATAATGATAATATGAGCACTCATATGGTACTCAGCTGTCTTGCAGGGTAATGTATGGTAATCGAAAAAATAATCAGCCGGTGTAATTTTGCATTTTTTCCCACGACAATGCCCTAAAAAAAGCCGGATGGTACCGTGCGCAGAAGCCCACAGAAGTGGGAAAAGCTCTTGACTGCCACTCACCTGGTAGTAGCCAGAAGTGATTCTTGTGCGTACGGTTAAAATCGCAACTCACAACGTCCGCATATTTGCAGGGCCGTCGAGAGAAAACCAGAACTAAAAAATCACCGATCCTATATATAAGTTGTATTAATTTAAAAAATATGGCTTAAGTCGCCGAAAACGAAGCAAAGGGAAACATTTTTTCCCCGGTTTTCGCAGATTTTTGATTATATCCGGGTCATACCTATTCTGTTTACGGGTATTCTGAGGTATGAGACAATATAAATATAAACACGAATCTCTTTCCCTCAAACACGAAAATTCACTTAATCCTGGGACACCTTTAAATTAACGAAAAATGAAAAGGCACAATATGAAATGTAGGCTGGTTATATTTAAGGACCACCCTTTTTTACACTATACTTGCTTCTCTTCGCTTTCCTTGTATTACTTTGAAGTTAATAAAAAAAGTATTCGACAAAGTACCTAATCATAGATTAATATTCTAAATGAAAATAAAGTCGGCAGCATTTTTTAATGTAATGTAACAGTCCAAAATATCAAAAGGTTTTTTGGTTTGGTATTTTTGGAAAAATATGGTTTTCTTCGAGCATTTTCGGCCTTCTTTCACAATAAAATAAAGCGGTTTCCTATACCCTTCATTATCGGCAAATGTAATGAATGAGAAGCGAAGAGATATTTGATAGCCTATACTGGCTATCGCTTCCAGAATGCGTTATTGCTAACACGGAAAATAATGTGTCGCGTGTCGATTTATAAATCTATAAATAGAAAAAAACAGAAGAAGAAGATTCCGTGCGCCAAAGTTTGAACTCGCGACCAACAAGTCGTTAGTCGAACACGCAAGCAATCGGCTACAGCGGCTGTTGAGATAATTTGAAAGAAAGGTAGGGGCAGGGGGGTGCTCGAGCCGCCCCCCCTAACTTTCAAATTTTCTTTATATATATATAAAATAGTGCCCTAAAATGCCAGCTTAATAGGGATATACTATTTTTTTTTATTTTTTATTTTTAAGCATACAATGTTTTTAACATCGCCTACGCTGCGCTTTGCGCTGCAATGTGGGACTTGATACACTGAAAATAAAATCTGCGTAAATATAACGAAAACTTGCGTAAATCTTACGAAATTTTTCGTCATTTTGAGCCACGAAAGTTTTCGTTGACTGTACAAGACCGTTTTCGTACATACTACGAAAATATGAGGCATCAGATTTTTAGTACATTTTAAGAATTTATTCGTACTATTTACTAAAGAATTTAGTACTATTTACTAAAGAATTTCGTACTATTTACTAACGAATTTCGAACTATTTACTAAAAAAATTCGTACTGTTTCTTCATTTTTTTACGAAATTTTTGTAAAATCCACAGAAATAATTCGTATATTTAACGAAATTACTTTCGTAAAATCTACGCTTGTTTCGTAGAATGTGCGATTGCTTTCATTCTCCACACTGTAAAAAACATATTACGAATTATAACACAACACCTTTATTTTGTTTTTGTCGTTAATTTTAAGCGTTTTTGTTTAACAAAACGTTTTGCAAAAACGCTTAACATTAATGATTAAAATATAATGAAAGTGTTGTGCTATAATTTTAGTCATGTTTTTTATAGTGTTAATAATAAAAGCAATCATACGTTCTACGAAAGAAGAAGAATTTTCTGACTACACTGTAGTTTAGAATTAATAAAAAAAAATTATTTTACTTATAATAAAACTTAAGTATTTTATTTATATGCATACGAATAGGTTCTATACTACAGATTTTTTTTGCTTAGGCTTCATTCAATAAAGAATTCTGATGCAAAGTGTTAAACTATGAGACTCAACAAAACTAAATATAATAAGATATAAAATATGAAAGAATATAAAAAAAACTGGTTTTACTTTCTTAAACATTATAATATTTTTATGTAGAGGCACTTGACAGATTCGCAGCTTCATCGATGTTTGTTTCCTTGACGACTATAAATTAAAGGAAAATTATAAGGCGTCTGAAAAGCAAGTTTCAGTGAAAAGTCATACATGTACTTACTTTTAATTACATTAAGTAGTGCTCCTGGCTTAGGCTTGCCGTTGATAGGTAACTGATGAAATTGATGATGTGAAAGCAATCGCACATTCTACGATATAAGCGCAGATTTTACGAAAGTCATTTCGTTAAATATACGAACTATTTCTGTGCATTTTACAAAAATTTCGTAAAAAACTAAGAAATAGCACGAAATTCTGTAGTAAATAGTACTAAATTCTTTAGTAAACAGTACTAAATTCCTTAGTAAATAGTACGAATATATTCGAAAAATGTACTAAAGCTAAAACGGTTTTGTACAATCAACGAAAACTTTCGTGGCTCAAAATGACGAAAAATTTCGTAAGATTTACGCAAGTGTTCGTTATATTTACGCCGATTTTATTTTCAGTGTAGTCAATGTTTTCATGGTAGAGAAAGGTAATGCATTCCCCATTTGCCTATTGGGTAATTGCTAGTCTCAAATTTAGTGACTTGATATAAGATTGACTTACTGGATACCGGTTGTTGACATTTTTTAAACACACAAACAATACCCAACTCACAAATTTAAACGCTCACGATAAAAAGAAATTCGGCGAATACCCGTAAACAAATTGAGCTCGCACTTGTTTTTGTTGCCAAACAAATGGTTGGGTTGAAAAATGTATAAGCTCAGAAAACTT